TGTAAGATTTCATTTCTACTCAGATCAAATCCAGATCATCTCACAGGTTCAAAGATGAAACTGAGAAACTGGGAAGATATGACAAGTAATGTTTGTATACAACTTTCTAGGATCTGTTTATTCTACTACATTGGGTTTTCTAATCAGAAATGTAGAATGAGAAAACAAATCTTCAACTGAATTTCAGACACTAATCTGGAACACTTAGGCCCTATCTAGGAAAACAGGGCCTAGCTATTCAGGCCCTATTCAAGAATAGTTTGCACAATTAGCGTTTATTTTTAGCTTTTGGATATATTTACTTAGTAATTTTAAGGCACATGAATATTAAATTGGCCTTTAAAGATTAGTAGATGTTTTATATACCAGAGACATTTTACAGGGGTGGAGTGAGGAATGAGATAAAAAATGGGGGGGGATGCGGGGGGAGTGCACTGGACTATGGTGATGGCACATGGGTGATATGGTGATGGGAAACCCACAGGGATTACAACTGAGATGGAAAAAAGCAAAAAAAAAAAATGATGTAAAAATAAACTATTATTTTAAAAAAAGCAGATTTTTAAAAAGTTTACTTCTCAATTCACAGGAAATGTGATGAAATATAAAATGATGCTTAAGTTAGATATATAAGTCTAACATTTAATTATAGATTGTAGTTTAGTGGATACTACTGAATTAGGCCTCCTTGGTGATGCAGGAGTTTTAAGTCCCAGCACCATTAAGTCTCAGCACCATTAAGTTATTGCCAACAATTGTGGCCTGAGTTCAATCCTGAGTTCAAAGCCAGGGAGCTAACCCACATGGCACAGCAGGCCTCTCCTCTTTCACCTGTTGCTTCCCTCAGCAATGTATCTTAGTAGATCTTCCTGTTCTGCTTCCCACTCTGTCTCTGGTGAATCCATTCTTATATACATAAATAAATAAATTTTTACAAAAATAGTGAATCATGAGAAAATCTAACACACAGATATAAAAGCAACAAATTCTTTTTGTCCAATCATCTGCCTTCTAGAACTGCACTGTGCTCTGGCTAAAAAGTACAGAATTCAGGCCAGAGTGTACTTTCAGAAACATTTCCCCTTTTAGTTGTTGATGTAGCATAGATATCAGAGCAACACTGAGCTTTGCAATAATCTGCTGATATCACTGATCTTCAGAAGAGAAGGGAGGCTCCTCCCTCAGTGCTCATGACTAAGGCTGTCTGTGTGGAAACAGGCTCCCGGTTGCTTAGAAATTTGTTGGCTCTTGCCTGCCTGTTTCCCACTCTACTCAAAGCTGAACCCTCCTGTTGGCTTGAGATAGCATCATTCATCTTCAGAGTTTCATGGAGTGTCAAACTACAGAAGGAAGAGTTATTATTTGAAATACCCATTAGAGATTCTCATCAAGTGAAGAAAGAGCTGGAATAACGGCTAAATGACTAACAGAAAATTAAAATATTCCTACACCTCAACAGTTTCTGTGGCCATTTTTTTCATCTGACTCTAAGAAACAAAAGAAGTTTATCAAGTTTTCCAAATTACTAACTAATGTATGCACATGAAAACAAAGCAAATTAACTCACAGTTTCAGCAAGTCCTATTGTCTTCTTCCTTTTCACTGTCACCTAGGACCCACGATGACCCATTCCCAAGCAAGGGACACAGCATTGCATTTTCCTAAATCCAGTTTCTGTGGTCTTACACAAACATACACAAGTACAGTTCAGTGTTGTGAGACAACTTATTACAAATGTGGGGTAATCTGCCCCTTGCTTTTTCATTAAAAATTATTTATCAAGGAATCTCTGCAAGTCAATATGCATACCTTCACAGCATTGATTTAAATAGCAACACATTTAAATTAGTGGTTTTAGCAACTGTGTACTGTTACTACATTATATTGCCATATATTTCTGTTTTTTTTTTTTTAATTTCTGTAAGGTAGATGCCTTCAAGTAGTAGTGATATGTCAAAGAGACATATTAATTTTTAATTTTTAAAAATGGTGTCCAAGTATTATCCCCAGTAGTGTTCAATTATCCCAAAAGACAGAGCCAAAAATGTCAGTGTGTACCCTTTTCTCAATAACGTCCATAACACTGGCCGTTATTGACCTTTCTAAATACTATCAAGTTAGGGAGTAAAAACAAAAAAGTTTTGCTATTTTAACTTGCATTTTTTTAGGAATAGTTTAACTATTCAGTGGTTATTTTTTGTAGTTCTTATTAAAGATTGTATTTATCACTTGTCAAGAAATATTAATTTTTAAATTTTAAGAGAACAAACCTTGTATATACTATTTGCTTTGTATATGTCCCACAAAACTATGTTAACTTACCTACTAGATATCTTAACATTGCCAATTCAATTACATGAGTTAAGCTACAGATATTATCCAAATTAAACTACAGAATTCTAATTTTTACTCATCTAGAATGTATCAATTTTTAGAAATCAAAATGTGTTTTGCCAACAACCCCAGTAAAGCAACCATAGGCACATTAACAAAACATCAAAAACTAACAGCAACCAAAATCACACAGATTATTACCAAATGATAGGGACAGTGGCTCCTTTGAATTGAGGGATAAGGAGGCTTATCTGAGGTGGTAATAACTAAGACCTGAATATCAAAAAGAAACCAGAATGTGCAGTTTGGGAGACGAGAGCTCTAGGAAGGTATGGTCAAACATCAGAAAAGTCAAGAAAATAGTGAGGGTTGGAGAAAATATAACAATAATAGGGTGAATTATAATAGTGAGGTGACCCACATGAAGTGGCAGACCACTCCAAACCCACCCACTGCTCCTCTCAGCAGTATATTTTAGTAGATCTGCTTATTTTGCTCCCCACTCTCTCTGGTGAAATCTCTCACCCCCAGCACCTCTGGCCTGTACCCCAGTTATTGTATGTATAAACAAATACATCTTTTAAAAAATAAAATAAATAAACAATCCGAAAATGATTTCAGTATCAAGAAAGGGATCAGAGCCTATAATAATGACCTGGCATCAAGATGATTTTTAAACCACTGAACCCATTACTGTCACCTAAAGGTCACCCAAAGAAGGGAAATAAGGTCAAAGAGTGCATGCATATAGATAGGACATCACAGTTAAGCACTAAGTGCTCTTCAAAAATATAGCAGTAGTACACTGATTTAAAAGACAGGGCTTTTTAAAAATAAGTATAGCTAAGGAACTCTATAATGAATTATCTTCTATTTTCAATTTTATTTTAATATACCAATAATAACCCCGAAAGTATGTCTGTGAGTTCAGAAATTTATATGTGAAGTAATGGTGTCTTAAGTGAGATAAGGTTACAAGATATATACTGAAACAACTCGTTTTGGCTTCACATATAAACACAGAAACGATCTATTCCAAAGTTGTATATGATGCACATAAAGTACTGGAAAATAAGACATTTTTAAAAAACATCTTTTATGTAAGACAGTAACTTAACAATTAGTATAATTTCGGTTCCCAAGACTGTGAAGACAAGTGCCTACTTCAATGTGCACCCACTGGTGCTTCTGTGGCCTCACAGAAGCCCGGCCTGCAAACTCCTTTTAACTAGTAGAAAAACTAATTAAGTACTTCTTTTCCTTTCATTTCTTCAAATGATTAAAATAGTGAATGTGCATATATAAATTAAAATGATAGGTTCTAAAATTAAAATTCCCAACTTAAGATTTAAAGAGGTCTTGAAAATTTACAAATGCATGACCTAACAAAAATGAAATGAAAGTAAATAGACCTCAACTAATTTCCATCTCATAATTTATCACATAACATGTCAATTTTGCAAGTTTACAAAAAGTTCAGCATTGTACATCACAAATTACATGCATATGTACTTCTGAATTCTTTAGCAGTTTGTTTCTTCTTTCTGGCATGAAGAGAGGCTTTATAGTGAAATTGAAACAAATACAAAAATACTCAAAGGGCAGTTTGATCTGATGTCATCAATTAAGTGCAAAGGATTTTCCAAATAAGTATATGAAACTCTTAAAATAGTTGATGGCTTTAAAAAATCTTATATTAAATAGAAGTTTAGTTTCTTAGTTCAGGAATTACATTCAGAAAGACAATTTTGGCAGGTAATCCATTTCTATAATTTGTTAAATATATTATTTATAATAATCTATAGATATGCTATAAATATGAACTACATAACATGTTGCTTAAATGCCAAGTAACTAATATATAACACTCCATGAGTAATGATTTTAATTTATAGGATAACACAATAGATTAAATAGATACAGCAAAGGCGTAAAGCAAAATGAACATAACAGAAATGCTCCGTTAACAAAATCAGATGAGTTTACTTTTAAATGCCATTCATATTCCTCAAGTTCTGACTGATTTATTCACATAATTAGTTGTTCATAGAAAACCTTGCTTTCAAAATTTAGCTAAAAGGATCTTGTTTCAAAGTACAGAAAACAACTATAATTATAAAAATCAGACATTTTAATTGCAAAATTATTTCACTTCACATAAGCTTTTTTCATATTATTTTAAGGCAACTAAATAGACTTCAGAGTCTAAATCTTAATTTCAAAGTCCTCATATTGCCTCATATTGCAATACAGCAATAAAACCAGCATAAATAAAAACTTATACTTTCTATATATATCTATATGAAAACTTAAAAAGAAAATTAATTATTGCATGCTTATTTAATATTAGAAGGAACAGCCTCCTTTCAATGTCAGAAATGTAGCTATCTCATCTTTCAATATGGGCTAGGTAAATAAATAATACCAAAAGAAATGCAGCCAAGAATAAAGAAATAACTAATTAGAAAATAAAACAATGATCAAAGTGGTAGTATTCACAAAGAATTCAGAGAAGAATAAGACACTATGAACAGAATAAGCCTGCAAATACAGAAACAGAAACAAAATGACAAGAAACTAAGGTAACTTAAGGAAGTGGTACCCTTGAAGTAAAGGCAAGGTCATGGTGATTGAGTTGGGAATTTGAAAGAGAAAGTCTTACTTACCCGAGTGAGGCTCATACACAAGATGTAAAGCAAATAACAACAAAAGAGAACTCGGCTTCCATTTCCAGTGACAGCTCCACATTCCACCTGAGTGAAACATCCTACAATGGGAGAAACACACAATCAGGACCCTCAGCACTCTGCAGAACATTATGGCCGTAAGAGTGGAATTGCCGGTTTTCGGCAAGGACTATAAAATGGAAACCGTTTCCAACCTTGTTTCCAAATAAAGAAAGGAATTTGAAGATGATAAACACCTTTAACTTAATTTGGTGGAAATAAACTTGTGCATTTTATTTCCACTTGGTGGTATCTTTGTTTTTAAAGAAAATGTAAGAGATGACCTCTGCATGAATGTGGTCTGACAGATAATTTGAGGGGGAAAAAAAGCATTGATTGGAAATAAAGCAAACTTAGTTCAGCCTTCATCAACACCAACCACACACCCATCTGGGTGGTAAGATATTTATGTAAATCTCTTATCTTCCAGAAACTTGGACTTCACAGTTTTCACATTGTAACTTAAGGAAATACTTAAAATTAAGATATGCTTGCTTCTTTCTCCTAAAATGAAGCTTTGGAACACTGACATCCAAAAGGATTAACATATATAACAATAGCTATTGATTTTTAAGTTTAACTTATTTATGCATATAGAACTGAGGTATACAGGCCAGAGGTGCAGGTGCAATGAGAGGATGTACCATAGTCAGAGTAGGGAGCAGAACAGGCAGATTCACAAAGTGCACTGTTGAGGGGAGCAGCTGGTGAGACGGGAGAGGTCTGCTGCGCCATGTGGATGAACTACACAGAGGCTGCAGCGGCCAGCTTCACAGTGCTGCACTTAGCTTGCTGCACCACCAGCGAGGGCCCCTACTGATGTTTTTAAAATGGCTACTAACACATCGTATTATAGAAATGAGTAATGAATTAAGGATTGATGTTTTGAAGACTCTCAAATAACTCTGTATAAACACTCATCTTTAACCTCAAAATTACAATTACTGATGAATTAGACAGGAACAAGCATATGATATTGGCTTAAAATGGTGGAACTTCACCTTTCATGGACTCAACCCCTTCTTCTAAAGAAGCAAGAGGGCAGCAAGTACAAAAGCCATTCATCAAAAGAGATCATGAATGAATGGGTAAGTGGAAGACCTGTAAAGAAGGAAAAGAGTTAAGAGGCAGAAAAACATATCCAGATCTTAAAATCCCCAAAGGGAGTTACTGAAACTATAAGAGGTATGTAAGATTCATTTATTTTTAAAAAGAGGGGCAACTTAACAAGACATGCTAGTGTCACTGTAACACCTTCTTTACCTGGAGATTGCTTACTAGAGTAAAATGTATAATGCTAAGCTGAAAACCAAGAAAATGGGAAGAGAAATATTTGAATAAACAAAGATAGACATCAAATGCTTACTACACTTGCCTTGGGCCTGTATTTTCAAGGCCTTTTACTATTAGAGACCGTGCAAGTAGCAGAGAGAACAAGTTGTAGAGTCAGACCAGGGCTTGCTATGATGAACAATGCAGCCCTTGAGAAATGTACTTGATCACCCTGGGTCTCCCATTTTTCACCTTTAAAAGAGGAACAGTAATAGATCCCAGTTCCTAATTGCTGGATGATTAAATCATCATGTCTTTTAAGAGCAAAACTAACACTCAGCAAGCTCTAAACAAACACTAACTATTATTACAGTTACAATCCTCCTGAGTAATCTAACTGTGGTTGTTCTCCCCAGGGAAATCAAAATAAAAGACTTAAATTCAAGAATGAATAATAGGATTTATATCATAAGCTACCAATCAATTGACCTTAGTCCTTTCTGTCATTATCTGGGAATAGAAATGGATTATTCACATATGCCATAAATACAGAAACTGTGAAATGTCCCATATTCACAGTACATATCTATAGTTATCAAAGTAGAAGTTCTATTATCATCAAACTACTAATGGAAATTCTACTTCAGAAAGTTTAAGATCTGCGGAGTATTTCTGACATATAGAAGGTATGTTTTCAAATATATCCGTCCCAAATATTTTAAATAAAACCATTGTCACTGCTTGAGACACAATATAGTATAGTAAATACAATAATAACACCAACAATAATAATAGTAATCATGAATGTCAATTCTGCAGTGATACAGAGCAATAATCCATTGCCTCCACCCTGTGGTTTTGAGTCAAATGCTTAAACTCTGAGTCAATTTCCTCTTCTGTCAATAGGATATTATCTATCCAAAGAACCTGAGATAATACTGCATAGCACTTGGTAAGGTTTTTTACAAAGGAGATGATAAACTCCTGTCACAAGTAAAGTTCATTCACTTGGAAGAATGGGTCCATTTCCCATTCATTGATGCTCAGTGAATGATTTTTCTCATTCATACAGGAGATGAATGAGTTTGCTCCAAAAACAAAAATGCAATTACATCGTCAAAGAAGTTGATAGCTGAGAAAATCAAAGAAGTCATTTCATAAAGAAACTGAGGTCCAGAGATGGGGGGTGTGGAGGAACAATCACAGGGGTTGCCCACTTTACAGATATAAACAGAAAAGGGGATCAGCCCAAGAGGACTGCCAACTTAATCTTTGTGTAATGGCAATTCTCCATCAATATGTGAATTAGGGTTCTCCTGAAGTTCATGCATGCTCTAAACAATCCTCAGGAGCCATATTCATTAGTTCGGTAACACTTAATACTGTTTATTTTATGTGCTCATACAACTTTGTTTTGCTATAAGAGGTTCTGACATTTAGGAATTCCATATCCAATCTGAAGTTGTTTTATAAAAGCTGTTTTACAAAATCAGACAAGAGTTGTGAAGGATGATCAAAGGTTTGATGCGGTCCAGTTCTCAGAACTCCATCACTTCACACAGAGAAAGAACCCAGGACAGGGCGAGCACTAGTAACCAAACATAAACCATAGGACATGCCAACTTTCATCCACTTTACTGTTTACTAAAGAACAGAAACAAATAAATTAAGAATAGAACAGAGGAAGGAAAGCACTGTGTCTCTTCTCAGGGGATCACTTAGCTAAGACACATCCCTGAGATTTAAACAACTTTCTCACAAGAATGGAAAATTCTGAACAGGGTTACTAAGGTTCTAAATAGGAACTACAAAAAAAACCAGTACAATCTTGTGTCACTTAGGTTGTGGCCTCAAAGTTATACTGAAGAGATCAAGAATATTTTTAAGTATGAAAGTCTACTTATAATTAATAATACTTCTATAACCTAAAAATAATATAAAACTTATGTAATAAAACCTATCATTTAACAGGCGAAAGAACTACAATGTTAAACACACACAAGCCCACATAATCAGTAGGGGCAGAGCCGAGAGACACTCTGTCGCCTGATTCCTCTGACTTAGGGGGGAATTAAGCTCCCTCTATTACTAACTCAACCTCCTTTTCTATCTGTACAATTACATAATGCAATCTGTTGGAGTACTGTTTTAGGAAGTGTTAGGACTTAACCCTTGCTTAGGTATTATTTAAAAAGTAGGTATGACTCCTTATAGATGTGCTTTGATATAAATACACCACTAATCTTAAAAACCTACCATCTTGGGCCCTCCTTGGAGGCACCACAGGTTAAAGCATGGCATTATGAAGCTCCCATAGCCACGAGTTCGACCCCTTGCCAGGGAGCTGGCCCACATGGCACGGCAGACCTCTCCTGACCTGTCTGCTGCTCCCCTCAGGAGTGTACTTTGTCAATCTGCCTGTTCTGCTCCCCACTCTTCTGGTGAATCCTCTCACCCACTGCATCCCTGGCCTGTACCCCAGTTCTGTAAGCATAAATAAATAAAAAAATCTTTAAAAAAAAAACTACCATCTTCAATCTCTATGGCCCTGTTAGTCCTCTTTAAAGTCACAATTTTAAGAGAAATAATAGTGAAGAAATTTGAAGCAAGGGAAATATTGATATAATTGTATTCATACCAGCAAGAGTTTGAAAAAATTCATTCCCCATATCCCAACTGCATTTCTATGGCAAATCTTTCACAGTGGTCTGAGTATTGGCACAGGGAATATATTAATTCTCCCAGAGTGAAAAGAATGATAATTTGGTTTATTCATGTCTGCTTATAGTTGTACTTCTCTGGTTAAAGATTAAAGAGCTATTAGAGTACACTACGTTCTTTTAAGTTGGGTTTACCTATACTTCAAAAAGTTTATTCTTCAAATCTGAACAAATCTTGACCATATTTGAGCAGTAATATGCCTAACTGGTTCATACCACAGATGAAATTGAAAGGTAACCTTGAAGCGCGTGCATACGTGCACACACATGCACACACACACACCATATAAAACTGGGAAAATCTCAAAAAGGGAGTGATATTGTATCAATATCTCTACTTATGACACTATACTATAATTTTGCAAAATGTTACCACTGGGAGAAAAATGGATAAAAATAAGGGGATGTCTGTTTTGAAAGATCTAATAATCTCTTACAACTGCATGTGAATCTATAACTATCTCAAAAAAAAAATGTCAGCTTAAAAGGTAAAAAACTAAAGCCCTGTTGTATGGAATTACACTCAGATGCCTCAGAAAAAGTGTGTGTGTGTGTGTGTGTGTGTGTGTGTGTGCGCGCGCACGTATGTATGTAGGAAAAAGGGTGAAGGGAATACAAAGGAAAATAAAACAAATGATGTAAATTCTCACAATAAGGGATACTACATAGAGTATACAGGTGTTCTTTGTATTCTTCTTGCAATGTTCTATGGCTTTAAAGTTATTTCTAAACAAAGTTCAATATACACAGACACATTTACACCAGTACATATATAAGTGCATCAATGTTTATCCTGTGATACAGATCACAGTTGAGTATTTCTGCTTTAATCTTGGCCAACTGGATGGAAGTAACGTCTCACTTGGAGTCCCTTTATTTGGATTGGCCTCTTCAAGTCATTTGTATAGTTTTCTGCAAAATATAAATATTTTTCTTACTGACTCATGATTTTTTCACCAATTCTACACTAACTTTATTAAGTCTTTGTCATATTTACTTGAAGTTTTTAAAAGAGTCATCTTGGAGTTTTCCTTAAGATATTCCAAATTATTTTATGCTGAGTAGTTTCTATAAAGGACAGTAAGATGATATTTAGGTAGACACACTCAAATTTTACTTGCATTTTCAGTTAGGATTGAAACATCCTTTAATGTCATTGCATGCATTACTCTGTATCTTCATGTTATCCAATGCATTAATGTAAAACTGTCATCCAATTAGAAATGAAATGGAAAGTTCTTTTTTTTTTTTTTTGCCCAAGGATGCCACACACATTGAGTAAAGTCTTTTTCTATTTAGTCTAAGGTCTAATCTCTAGAAACTTTTAATCAACTTTTACAGAAATGTAAACTCTGTAAGAGATGGCAGTTAGAAAAATTGTAAGGTTTAAAGAAGTGGTTATCAGTTTATTTTTAATATATAAACTGATTCTCTCTCAAATCATTATTTCCAGAAATCAGAGTAACAAGTCCAGTTAGGCAGTAAAACTACAAGCTTCTAATATTTCCCATAAGACAAGAGACAATAGCCTCATTCACCATTCACACTGGAAAAGCACAATGTCATGTAATTTATATAAGCCATAAATGGAACAGTAGATTCTTGCAGCTTGAAACCCATTAATGCAAGTCTTGCTAAATCTACTAAATTTCTAAGGGTATGAAAAATATGCAGTCATTACAACTCAAAAAATATACTTATAAAATCTGTAATTTCAGAATTTGAGTGTAACACTACGTAAAAATTCTTTCTCCACAAGAAGTAGCAAGAAAATACACTTAAAAAGTTTGTGTAGTTGAGTCTTTGAAAATTGAAATTTAAAAGATAGTAGGGTTTATGCTCACCACTTTGACATTTTTCAACAACATAGTAATATCTTGTGGGATATTTACATTGTAAATAAGAATATTTACAATGTAAATAGGAGTATTTACATTGGAGTGGTTGGTATTATTTCCATATATTCGAACATACTGGTAAGAATCAAATCATCTTAAGCCATCCCACATTTTAAGCAACAAAATGGAAAAAAATCATAATTTGGCAAGAGATGGAAAACTTTCAATAAAAATTAGTTCGATAAATGCCAATCAATAACACTAAACTATGTTTTACTTAATTAAATATTTAAGTTTTTACTCTACACATAATTTTTAATTATATGAATTTCAAACAGACTAATAATTTCATAATTGCAACAGGTTTATATAACTGTTGGTCAGTCTCACCTTTTATTTTAAAAATTGGTATTCATAGATCTTTTTTAATGTGTGATGTGCATTTTCCCCATAAGATCTAAATAACCTAGAAAGCTCAAAAGAAGCTAAGACAAAAACTTGTTTAAAATCCTGCTAGACTTTTAGGAAAAACTGAAGTTTAAAGCAAATTCACACTCATTCAAATGTGCTGCTTGCATATGAGAATAATGTCTTAGATGAGAATTTTGGCTGCATCCCAGAATAAATTCTTTCAAGTTATACCTTGCTGATTCCACTGGCAGAAAAGAAACTTTAAAACTCACAGGTATGGAATTACTTCACGTGCAGGTTAATAAAAATAAAAATAAGTGGCTCCTTTCTAATTGCACGGCCCGCTACCAGGAACAGAGTCGCAAGTGTTAGACAAGAGGGCACTGCTCCTTTTCCTGTTTTGGAAGAGGTGCTGAAAAACCATACCGGGAAGGGAAAGGCAGAGAGTCAGAGGTCTTGCCGAGTGTCTGCCCAAGATTAAATAAAACACCAGAAAGAAAATTACATATTACAAGAAAAAGGAACTTCTGAACTGGCCACAAAAATAAGCTTGGCCCTTTGGGCACAGCCTTTCTTTTTCCATTCTGGAAGGCCAGGGGGTGTGCTGTGGCCCTTTGGCGGGGTCACTCTGAGGCACCTCACCACTTCGATGACAATCCCATAGAAGCAAAGCTACTAGGTTGCCCTAACCCTTTCAACGCCTAAGCCCCCAGTCTGGCTTTACACCGGTCCCCTCACAGATCCTACACTTAGAATGACATAGCCCTTAACTACTTTTAACCATTCAAAATAACCCAAAGATCCAAGAATAACTTCTACAACCCAGGGTGACAATGTGAAAGTCAACATTTTCTCAGCATACCAGTACCTTCCAAGCCCCAGGTGCTGATCCAGGAGAGCGCTTTCTTGGCAGGGTCGGGGCCCTGAATGGAGGAGCCGCGCCTTTTACTCCTTGTTTAATTTGAATCGAAAACACGTTTTCCCCATTCTTGAAGCCCTGCCCTTTTTTTTTTTTTTTTTTTTATTTAAAAAAAAAATTTCTTCTCCCTTTTAGGCCCCCCCTTTTTTTTTTTTTTTTTTTTACGCTTCACGCCGCCCTAAAGTGAGGTTTACCTCTCCCTGGAAAAAAAAAAAAAAAAAAAAGGAAGCCACACACTCAAGTCACAGCTCCATCTAGCAATGCCAGCTCTCTTCAGTGCCTTGAGGGGCAAACTGAAGACAAACCGGTTTATTCTGCCAATGCAGATCAGTCTTTACAAAATCACTGAATTGCTGGGGGGCGGCGGGGGAGGGAGGGGCGGCAAACAGAGGTAGGTGCGACAGTCTTCGGCCTGAACAGTGACACTTACATGTTGGCATTAGTGCGCCGAGCTTCTCAGGGGCCGCACCTTCACGCTCCAGATCCTTCTGCCGCGCTGCTGCCCGGAGTTCCCCAAAGAAACCCGCCCCCGCGCGCGGCCGAGCGCGGTGGCCGGACTCTCCTTCACCCTCTTTCTGGAGAGTTCGCAGGCTTCGGCAGCCGCAAGTCCCGGCCGCGCTGCGGGCGCGCAAGGTGGAAGGGCCGCGCGGCCGAGCGCGAGTGCGGGTCGCCGCGGCGAGGGCGCGGGCCCGGCGCCAGGTTCCTCTTTCTAGACCAATCGGGGCACGTTGGGGCCAGAAGGTCGCC